TATGGTGTTTTCAGATGTGTTATCTTTTTTGATAACTTGTTCCTAACGGAAAATGCGATGAGTAGGGCAAGCATGCTGGATTGCAGATGCAAGCACAGGAAGGAGCCTGACATGTCCCAGTCTGCCTTAATTATAAGCAGCACCACCAGACCCAGACCTTAAGGGCTGTGGAGTCAGATACTTCTTAGCCAGCAACTCCACCCCCGTGAAAATGGGCAGAAGTGACCAGCTTAAATGAACATTCATTTACTGTTAATTTAGGGGCTTAATAAAAAAAAAAAACACAAATTCTCAGTAAGATATACTGGTAGGAAGCTGTGTGGACTGTGTGGAGCATACCCTTCTGGGATTGGGGAGACTGGGTATCACACTGTTCTTTGAAGCTGGTGTTTCCTGTTAGTTTATTTAGCGGGGTTTTGCTTCTTTATTAAGACCCTAAATTAATAGCAAATTTATGTTTATTCAATTGAAATTGAGCCTATAGTTTGAATATATTTTTAGTTAAATTGTAGCAAAGGTGAAAATATAGAAAATGAGAAGTCACTGGACAGAATGCTAGTTCCAACTTGGGATGTGAATATTTGAAAATCAGTTCAGGGTCTCATTTCCACTTCCTTAATTCTTTTCACCACTGGATCCAGTCTTTTCTGGAATATGCTTCCCAATTTAAAAAAAAAAAAAAGAGTTCTAGAAGGTTCAAATCACTCTGAAACAAAAAAAAATGGGATTTAAAGAACATAATGCAGTTAATAAATTCTATGCACTCAAGTTAATTTTACAGACTACATAAGAAAATGTTAGCTCTTCCTCTTCATTGTGGAGTCACATTCTTAAACTGAATCTTGCATGTATATGTAAATTCTTTCTCCAAGCCAAAATGCTATCCTGGGACTTTCAAAAAGAAATTATATATAGATTTATAGCCCTGATTCATTTTATGTGCCTTTGCTACCAAGTGAAAGTCGCATATACTACATAAAATAACCCTCAACAACTATAATTTCTTGGCAGTGATGCCTAGTTCAATGAGTAAAAACTCAAAAATGCAGGCTAGTTTGACCAAATGTACAGCAAGTTATCTATTAAATAATGACATTTCTTGTAACCTATTATAATAGGTTTTTCTGATTCTCTACACTGATAATTTATCATCATACAAACCATATATTCTCAGGGTATCAGCACTGAGGGACTTGTATCACTCCAAAGGACACGCACTTTTGTTTATTTTTCAATGGGAACAGTTTGGCACTTGGAGCAAAACTCTGTATTACATATCTAAGCACAACAAATTTTAAATTTAATTAACTCTATGAATATGAAAGCATTTTACTAATTTGCCCCTAGATGTTTCTTATAAAATTAATTCAAGATATACATTTTTGGCTTATATTATTTTTGCTTTGCTCATCTAATTTTTCAGTGCTGGGAATCAAACTTAGGGCCTTACCCACTTAAGGCAAGCACTCTTCCACTGAATAGTCAGCCCCACCCCTAGCTTCATTGACACAGGGCTTTACTACATAGTCCACATTTGGACTCACACTTACGCCTTCTGCCTCACTCTATATATGCCACAATGCCTAGATGCTATTCATGTTTAAAAAATATTCTCTCACTTGGAGCCAACAGGATGGCTCTGTGAATAAAGGTTTTAACACAAATCTGATGAGCCACATAGTGGAAGACAACCAGCTCCAGCAACTTGTCCTCTGACTTCCACATGCATGCCCACACACATCAAATAAATTAATATAAAAATTTAAATTAAAAAATGGTTTTAATTTTACCCTTTATGTATTAATCTCAACATATATAATTACATATATCTATTTGATCATGCTAATTGACACATGAAGTTAAAATGATAGGGTTTCAATTGCTTAGTTTATCTGGTATAGTAAGAGACTGCAATCTATCATTCTTCTAAAATACTCACACCTTTTCTTCTCTTTCCCTTTTAATTTTCAGAGCAGTGTTTTTATCATAGAGCTTAAATTCCATCTATGTGTGTCTTTCACATTTCTGTGCCCCGCCAGGAACTATAAACTGAATTCCAAATCCTCATTTTTGGCTGCCTACTAGATGCTTCCACTTGGAAGTCTCAGAGACATCATCATAGCAAAGCTTATCTCCTGACTTTCACGTAGCCTTCTCCTCCCTTGCATCTCAAAATCATTCAATAATTTCTCCATTGTGTTACCTAAATCACAAAACTTGAAACTATTTTTTTCTCTCTCTGTCTCTCATTCTCTTCCTTTCCTTCCAATAAATTAGCTTAAATTATCTTCTTTGTGTTTAATATCTATCTATCTCATCTCACTGTCCAGTATCAGCACCACCATTACTGGGTTATCCTTGTTAGGTTTTCTTGCTTCAACCCTGGCTTTCCATTCTCCTTTCCAGTGAGAAGCCAGACTGATAGCAATTGTGTTAGTCATCAGATCAAGATCTCTAGTAGATCTCCAGTCACTTTGAACAAGAGCAGAAGTCTGAATCACAATCTAAAGGAGCCTGCAACATCTGTCCCTGGCTACCTGCTTCCCCTCTACCACCCACTTCTTCCTCACTTTCTTACAGTCTTACTAGATACTCATTTTTCCAGACTGGGGACTTTTAACATTAATTTCTTCCTTCTGCTTGGGGTAATTTTCTCCAACTTTCTTTTTTTCTCTAAAATGTCATTTTCCCACAACATTATCACCCCATTTAATATTGCTCCTCTTTCAGCATTTTTTTTCCATCCTTGTTTGCTGTTCTCTACAGGATTCATGTTGTGCTTTTCTTCTGTATTTGTTTAATGCCCATTTCACTATGTTTGTTGCCAAATCCACAAATACAAGAATTCTTGGATGTTTGGTTTGTAGCTGATACTTAAATTCCTTTCCTGGTATTCTTTAAGCATTGACCAAATATTGATGCAATGAATGAAAAAAAAATGGACATGAAGAGAATGCCAGAGAACGAAACCCAGTGGTGTTGAAATAGAGGATATCTCAAACACTGTTGGAGGAGAAGGTGGGAACTACATACATAGGAGATAAAACATGATATAGTTTCAGCTGTAAGGATAAAAAGAATTTTAAGTGACTATCTTTCAATCATGTGGAAAACTCTGATGCATATTTCAAGGAAATAGGGTTCAAGTTAGAAAGGTACCACAAAAAAGGCCCTTCAAGTGTTATATGTTACTTTTCTTCTAGAAACACAAACTAGTTTAAGGAATTTGAGGGTTCAGATGACTGGATAGTTGAAAGTGCAAAGTGACATTGAGCATAGTTTAACCCAGAACTCAAATGCTATCAAGATCTATCTACTGGCCCCACCATTATTTCCTGAAATGTCAGCACAATGCTCGGGCCATATGTGGCTGTAGGCTCTGCCTGTTGTTTTTCTCAGAAGCCTTGCAGACAGTATCATGGTTCTGTGTTGCCTCTAATAAAGCCACATACTTATTTCCCCAGGCAGATGTGCTGTTCTGGAAGTAGAAGGGTTGGGTCAACTTAAATTAAGATATATTTCACCCTTGTGTCAAGGTTTGGAGAGTAGCTCTTCTCCAGAGAGGAGTTAGGATATAACTTTTCTAAGAAGAGGGGAATGGAGGGTGCTAATGGCTAACAGATGAGCTCTATTAGGGGGTAATGAAGACTTGAACTTCAGACAATGCCTTTGGTATGGAAGGGGAGGGAAGAAGTAACAAACAGAGGATGTCAGGCTGACTTCCTGATTAGGACTGGGAGTGGACAAGACACCTTGAATTTTGAACCATGTGGCTAGAATTTCACAATTTCATTCATGAAGATTCAGAATGAAGTAGGACGACCAGACTTATGAAAGAAGGAAGGCGTTCTCTTCCTTCCTCATTCCTGCTTTTTGTTAATAAGATTGTTTCCAGCTTCTCCACACTTAAGAACAATTGAGTACTGCAAGAGGCAGAAGGCAAATTCTTCCACCAACCACTTATTCTCAGAAGACTTGTCTCTGTGGTTTTGAAAACTCTTCCCTCAGAGCTTATTGTGAGAAAATTTATTGTTTCCCAATAGTCTTCGATGCTTCTACTTGAGTGAGCAGGGGCTATGAAGTAGAAAACTGTCAGTCAGAGCTGGGTTCAATCTTATCTCATTAGAACATTTCTGCATGACTGACTTAAGACTGTCTTTGAATGCATTGAGAATTGGGCTGGTAGACGTGCAGTACTTGTGTATAATGTTCCTGCGGGTGCCCATGAAATTATGAACTGAGAAATATTTAGCAGTTAGAGGCAAGAAATGAGAAAAGACAGACATTGAGTCATCATAGCCTCTGAGAAGATGATGCCAGCATTTGTTTGGTTGGTTTTTTGTTTGTGCTTTCTTTTTTTTTTTTTTTTTTTTTTAATATTTACCATTGACTGGGTACTGCTGCAAATTCTTAACACAAAATGAATCGTTCACATTAGCATCTCTTTGTAATAATACTGTTACTCCCAATTTACAGGTGGGGAAACTGAAACCAATAGGTCCTTGTTATTGTACTGTAATAAAATCCCACAACTAAGATGATGGACCTAAAATTTGACATGAGCACTTAATCAGCTGACTGTATGTTCCAGAACATCTCAAGACAATCATAATGTATGCCCATCCTCTCAGCATAATTCAGTGTGCTAACTCTAGAAAGTGTCCTCACTTGGTATAAATTATGAACACCAGTCCTTTTACCCATGATGGTTTGCTTACTCAAAAACAGGAAAGTCTAGTCTGTGTAATAGAGGCATCCAAATAACTAGACAGGATTTCCATTTGACATTTTGGATGGAGTGTGATTACTGGATAATCTCCTATGTTGTCCTGAGAATTAAACATGTTGTGTGAGTTTGTATAGGCTTGGTTTGAGCTGGTAAGTCAGTCTGCTTTCTTAAGGATTTGAAGCCTCAGTGTACGCTGACATAAGGTTGCTGTGGTCATACTTTACATCTTTGGCAGAGGTTTTGTTGATGCCCCAACATTTGGCTATTCCAGGTTCCCCCAGATCTCCAGAACGAAGTGCTGATCAGCCTTCTGGAGACAGATCCTGATGTCGTGGACTACTTGCTCAGAAGAAAGGCTTCCCAGTCCTCGTAAGCATGCTCTTTTTTCAGCTTCTAGAGTTCCATTTCTTTTTTATTTTTCTTTATTATGATTTATGATTTATTCACTTTGTATCCTAGCTCTAGCCCCCTCCTTAATCTCTTCCCAGTCCCACCATCCCTCCCTTTTCTCCTACTATGCCCCTCCCTTAGTCCACTGATAGGCGGGGTCCTGCTCTCTTATTATCTGAACTTACCCTACCAGGTCTCATCAAAATGGTTGCATAGTCTTCCTCTGTCACCTGGCACGGCTGCACACATCAGGGGGAGGAGGACATCAAAGATCCTGCCTTTGAGTTCATGTCAGAGACAGCCCCTGCTCCCCTTACTAACACCTACTTGGAGACTGAGTTGCCTATGGGCTACATCTGAGCAGGGGGTCTAGGTCCTCTCCATGGTCCTTGGTTGGAGTATTGGTCTCTGCAGGCCCCACTGCAAAGAGTTTGAATGGTAACCATCTTTGCATACAGAGTGACACAATTGGGATTTGTTTTGTTAGTTAGTTTTTGTTGTTGTTGTTGTTGTTGTTTTTCTTTTTTTAATTTTCAGGACAGGGTTTCTCAGTGTAGCCTTGGCTGTCCTAGAATAACTTTGTAGATCAGGCTGACCACAAACTCACAGAAATCTGCCTCCAACTGCCTCCCCGAGTACTGGGATTACAGGCCTGGCCTGTGCCACCAAGTCCAACTCACAGTTAGGTTTTTGATAACTTTTTTTTTTCAATTTTTATCAATCTGCCTAAGCAGAAATTATTTTAGTTTTATCAACTTACCAATTTCCAAGCCACTTTCCTAGGCATTTCTTGTTTGTTTTCAACTTTTTCTAACACCTTAGGAAATTTCTGACTTGTGGTCACAGGAAAAAAAAAAAAAAAGCTAAGCCACTGGCAAGAAGCTCAAAGGAATATAACATGCCTAAATGATTCTAGCAGGCATGTCCAACTTGTGCCCTCAGTCTGCATGTCTCTAGCTAAGAATTCAGTCCAACACAAAATCATAAACTTAGGAAAACATCATAAAATTTTGTCTTTGTAACTCAAAGTTGATCTTTATCATCTACCTTGTCAGTGACAATATTGTGTCACAAAGTCAAAAATCTGGGCATGCTTCTTAAGAGTCTTGATGAATGTTTAATGTCCTGTAGGCTGCATGGGCTGGGGTTGGTGCTGGGAGTGGAGTATCTTCCTTGTGCAACATTACAGGGAAGCAATCTATTTCCAAACCACAAGAGCAACCTTTGCTGAGACCTAACCACCCATTTGCAAAGAGAAATGTGTACTTTTCCAGCTCTGTCATTACGTATAGCTTATATTGTCTTCATGAAAATGCACACTTATCCAAGTTTGCAACGAAGAAAGTGCAAGGCATGCTTTAAGTTATGGCTTGCCACCATTTTACCTTGAAAGGAGCACAAAACTGGTCCGTTGTTCATATTTTATGTATAATCCCAGCAGCTGCTACAGAGACAGAGTATATAGAAGTGCTAAATACTTGGAAAAGCCAGGTAGCGCTACCACATAAATAGTCAACCTTAAATTTAGGATAGGAAGAGTTGATTCTGTTCTCTCTTGAGAGTATCATTGTACTATGCTTTTAATTAATAAGTCTAGGACACATTTGGCCATGTTCTATTGACTTCAAAAGTGAGATTAATCCTAGAACCAATAATATACTTTAGCCTAATTTCTTTTTCAGCCATAGGTTTTTTTTAAGATAGGGATTATTTGGATTTAACTTAGAAATGAAGCATGTTCAGTTATTTCTATAGACTGATGTGAAATTTGATTGCTTTTAATTTCAAATTATTTCAGTTAATAATAAAATTATACTATTTAAGGAAATTTAATGAAAAGGAATTCCATGTTGTTTAATCCCCTTCTTCCCAGAACAGTACATTAATAACCCCCACTAAATTCAGCTTCCCTCCCATTCCAGCAGTACAGGAAAGGGCTTGTAATCAGATCACCCTTTCAACTGCCTGTAAAAGAAATCAATTTCTGTGCCAATCAATATCACGGAAGTTTCTGGTTCAAGTAAGATGGTCTGCTTGAATTCAAATTCCAAGAAGCAATAGTAAATATAAATCTATTTTAAAAATAGAAGTGGACCTGCATTTCAGGGTCTTGTTTTCATGTAAGTGAATTGGAACAGCCTTTAAATTTTTCTTAGGCTTCTAACTCTCATCAAGGTGTAAATTTTCATTTCTCCCCCACTTCCAAATCATATGCTACTAGAGTTTTAATAATCTTGTTTGTTTCTCTAGTGTGGGCAGGAAAACAAACACGGTCATGTTTCTGTTTATAAATCCTTCATTAATTTTCATTTATAACATTTTGTTACCAGATGGTAGGAAATCTAGAAAATATACACCTGAAAAAAAAAACATGAACTTTTGGCTATCCAAATTTCTTCTTTTCTGTGGCGTTGGATAGGTACATTTTATTCTTGAAAGAACTATTAATGGAAATGCCACATGGTTTCCAAGCACACTTTTGGTATATAAATGCCAACGTAAGAACAGAACCTTTCTTTTTCTGCTCTTAGAAAGGACGAAGTGCACATATTAAGCTGATGCCAAGTTGTGCAATTGTTCTGGCCTCTTTTGTTTCCTATCTATGTATGAGTGAGTCTCTTTAAGGAAGAAAGGAGAATAAAGATTATTTTTGTTTTTCTTTTTGTTTTCCTCTAGGTACAGGCAAAAATCAGTCCAGAAAGCTGATACTAATACCATGAAGTAAAGTCTAGATATTTGTAGGGGGAAAAAGTTTTATTTTAGTGTCCTTCTGAGGCTTGAGCTGTAGGTGGTCACATTGGGCCATAAATATAATGCTTCCCAAACTCCTGGTATATATGGAGCACTTCAAATCTTGGGAGGGTGCTTCTGAGTCAGTTGGATTGAAGAGGTGGGCAGAGATTGTATATTTCCAATAAGCCTTTCTGTGGTCCAGTAACTACTGGTCCATGATCCACATTTGGAATAGAGAAAGTTTAAAATGCTGAGGCATTTTCTTGACTTTATGCACATTCAAACATTGTGCATTCAGACCTGATGGGGGAGTATGTAAGAGAATGCAAGTTGACCAATACTAGACATGGTCTCAGACTCACCTGCTCATTCCAAACACATGATAATTGTAAAGAACAGCTGTGAGTCTCCCCATCACCATGGTGCTTGCTAATTTGTTGAGTCACAGTCCAGGGATTGGGGTTTTCAGAGCTCTCCACGTAATTTTAGTAAGCAGCCCAAACTCCAAAAGAACTGACTCTGGCCCACCACATGGATTCTCCATATTTAGAATCCTATGGAAATTTGGGTGGGGTGGGTTTTCACCTTCAACATGTGTCCTTGTGTGGATAAAAGAGTAGCACAAATGTTCTGGCTTATAAATTGACATGGAGTTTGTAGAAAAGAGATGTGATTAACAGTCTCAAAATGGCTTCTGGAGGAAGGAAGAGCTTGCAGTGCATTTGGAAAATGAGTGAAGATGTAACTGGGACTGGTTGTTCATAAAGCTAGTCCTGGACTTGGTCAATAAAGCCAAGTTCCCGTCTGTCTGGGGACACAATAATAATGAAGTTAGGCAGATATTTTCTAAAATACCAAGCTTTGGTGAGGTGGCATAACATTTAAATCAGAAAGTAGTGATAAAGGAATACAGTGACAAAATATCCCTGTAATTATAGATTTATAGTGATTGTAAATTGCAGTAACCCAAACTGACAGGTGGTGCTGGCTACAGTGGTACTCATGTCTAATTAACCACCAATCAGCTATGTGTGTGTGTAATTTATGACACTGCTTGAAAGCCTAAAGTTGTGATCAAGATCTCATGTCCAAATTCAGCCCTACTGCTATTAGTTTTGTGCTGTGGTATGTGTTCATTAATGACTCTCTGACTAGGTTTTCTCATCTGTTAACTGGAGATTAAACACTTACTATTGGGTTACTCTGATCTTCACCCATGTGGTTCATTGCCAACTAGTTACCATAGACTTGTATATGAGACATTGTGACTATCTCTTCTTCCTTGACATCTATGAGATAGCAGATGACCACAAAATATGGCACATAAAAAAGAGATTGCATCAGGTCTAAAAACATAGTACCTTATTTCACTGGAGATTTTTATTTTCTTTCCCTTGAAACTCCATTTCCCAGTTCACATACCTGACTAAGTATAACTTTAGACTCCTGTAAGGCCAAGTAGAAACACTGCAAGATTTGATTCAGAGGGGAAACAAAATAAAATTTCAAAAAGTGTGAAACACATGAGAAAATGTATATTATTATTTATGTTTTAAAGGAGAAAATATTTTATGATATTTGGGATCTTCATGTTTTGTCTTACTTATTTGGATTTTTCCCTTTTGTATGCAACATCTGAATTGGGCTCTTGCAAAGAAAATGTATTTTCTTTTCATGTGCTCATCTAGTTCATTGTTTGGCTTCAACCAAAGTGGTATGCCAAAAGGGGATTAGAAGAGATTTTCAGTACCAAAGTTGCCAGGCTTACTCATTTTTAACAGCTTGTCTGGTATACTTGCTAGAATTATGTGCTCTTTTCTTCAGAAGTCCCTAAGACAGACTAGCCTCTTTTTGATTAAGGAATTTGACAATGTAGGTGAGGATGATGAAGTATTAATCTAAGAGGACAGTGTAGGTTGAATGAGTACCTCTAAGCAAAACAACGGTGTTAAAGCAGTCAGGACTAGGATGAGGCAAAGGAGTCCCTTATCTAGGCACAAAACTTAAGGAAATAAGAAATCAGTCATGAACACTATATTGTAATATAATATTTTACAAAATCAAATTTTATTTTCACCCCCAGACAATAAGAAGCAAAATAGAAACATTTTCAAGAGATAAAGACCATACTTAGCCACCCAAGATGCCAAACTGATGGTAAAATGTTTAGGCCTGTCCTAAGTGGAGGCAACCCATCACTGTGTTTTCACAACTTCTCCTTTCTTTGTCTCTTTTGAACTGAGACA